GAGGGAGGGAAGGGAAGGGAAAGGAAGGGAAGGGAAAGGAAGGGAAGGGAAGGGAAGGGAAGGGAAGGGAAGGGAAGGGAAAGGAAGGACAGCCACAAATGTCAAGTGAAACAAAATACTTTTTTTAATATCGACATCTTTAGTTTGGTGATGATGCTGTTTCACAGTTGATTTATCGTATTACTCAGAGAATAATTTTCCACAAATATCAATGTAATGTTATATGCTTTTCTCCAAAAAAAAATAGAACAGTATGATGCATAAAATGTTAGAAATAATTAGACAAAGTTGTGTAATCCCACTGTGACACTTACATACCTTTGGAGTTTAATATTTACTGTGAAAGTTTTGTTTTTGTTTTTGTTTTTGAGACAGTCTCACTCTGTCACCCAGCTAGAGTACAGTTGCACAATGTTGGCTCACTGAAACCTCCGTCTCCCAGGTTCAAGCGATTCTCATGCCTCAATCTCTCAAGTAGCTGGGACTACAAGTGTGTGCCACCACACACCTAGGTAATTTTTGTACTTTTAGTAAAGATGAGGTTTCGCCATGTTGGCCAGGCTAGTCTCAAACTCCTGACCTCAGGTGATCTGCCCACCTCAAACTCCCAAAGTGCTGGGATTACAGGTGTGAGCCACCACACCCAGCCTATTTACTGTGAAAGTTTAAAATCTAATTTGAAAGCTGCTTCTTATAAGCAATATAATTTTTTCTTTAATGTAATGATCCCAGAATTTTTAATGTTACATAATATGAATACATATTTCAAATGCAAAAAAAAGCCTTTTTACATATAAACATGTATAAAAGAATAAATACAATAAGAAATTAATTGGGGTGGCAAAGTACATTTAAAATTTTGTGATGTTTTTGTCAAAAACGGTTTGAACAAATTTACAAGAAAAAAACAAACAACCCCATCAAAAAGCAGGCAAAGGATATGAACAGACACTTCTCAAAAGAAAACATTTATGCAGCCAACAAACATATGAAAAAAAGCTCATCATCACTGTCATTAGAGAAATGTAAATCAAAACCACCATGAGATACCATCTCAGGCCAGTCAGAATGGCAGTCATTAAAAAGTTATCATTCTGAGCAAACTATCGCAAGGACAGAAAAACCAAACACTGCATGTTCTCACTCATAGGTGGGAATTGAACAATGAGAACACTTGGACACAGGGCAGGGAACATCACACACTGGGGCCTGTTGTGGGGTGGGGGTATGGGGGAGGGATAGCATTTACAGAAATACCTAACGTAAATGACAAGTTAATGGGTGCAGCAAACCAACGCGGCACATGTACACATATGTAATACACCTGCACGTTGTGCACATGTACCCTAGAAATTAAAGTATAATAATAAAAAAAAAAAAGTCAGGAAACAACAGACACTGGAGAGGATGTGAAGAAATAGGAATGCTTTTACACTGTTGGTGGGAATGTAAATTAGTTCAACCATTGTGGAAGACAGTGTGGTGATTCCTCAGGTGATCTAGAACCGGAAATACCATTTGACCCAGCATTCCCATTACTGGGTATGTACCCAAAGGATTATAAGTCATTCTACTATAAACACACATGCACACATATGTTTACTCCAGCACTGTTTACAATAGTAAAGACTTGGAACCAACCCAAATGCCCATCAATGATAGACTGGATAAAGAAAATGTGGCACATATACACCATGGATACTACACAGTCATAAAAAAGGATGAGTTCATGTCCTTTGCAGGGACATGGATGAAGCTGGAAACCATAATTCTCAACAAACTAACACAGGAACAGAAAACCAAACACCGTGTGTTCTCAGTTATAAGTGGGAGTTGAACAAAGAGAACACAGGGACGCAGGGAGGGGAACATCACACACCAGGGCCTTTTGAGGGGTGAAGGGCTAGGGGAGGGATGGCGTTGGAGAAATACCTAATGTAGATGATTGGTTGATGGATGCAGCAAACCACCATGGCACGTGTATACCTATGTAACAAACCTGCACGTTCTGCACATGTATCCCAGAACTTAAAATATAATTTTAAAAAAAAAAAAAAAAAACAGTTTGAAAACTTCCCCGAAGTGAAAAAGTATCCTTTGAGGAACAATGTAAAGATGAGCTCAAGTTCCACAGGAAAGAGAAAATTAAAATTTATGAAGAATGTATAAATATCAAACTATTTTCATGTTTTCCAGGAAAAATGTGGCTTTCTCATTCATTAACCAATAGCATAATATTTTCCAGGAACCTTCACTCAGAAGAAATGCTGTGGCCCTTCCCTTTACCAACAGAAAATGGAACACAAGAGACCACATAGCTGAACAAATTACAGCCTCCTTACAAGTGAGAAACCTTCGAGGCTACGTAGTTTTCAGCCAAAGAAAAATAACCAACCGCTTCTCCACAGTGTACACTGAAACAGGGAAAACATGAACATCACAAACTGTACCACAGAAGCCGGCATGGCTGTGAGGCCCAAGACCATCACTGAAAAGATGCTCATTTGCATGACTCTGGTGGTCATCACTACCCTCACCACGTTGCTGAACTTGGCGGTGATCATGGCTATCTGCACCACCAAGAAGCTCCACCAGCCTGCCAACTACCTAATCTGTTCTCTGGCCGTGACGGACCTCCTGGTAGCCGTGCTCGTCATGCCCCTGAGCATCATATACATTGTCATGGACCGCTGGAAGCTTGGATACTTCCTCTGTGAGGTGTGGCTGAGTGTGGACATGACCTGCTGCACCTGCTCCATCCTCCACCTCTGTGTCATTGCCCTGGACAGGTACTGGGCCATCACCAATGCTATTGAATACGCCAGGAAGAGGACGGCCAAGAGGGCGGCGCTGATGATCCTCACCGTCTGGACCATCTCCATTTTCATCTCCATGCCCCCTCTGTTCTGGAGGAGCCACCGCCGCCTAAGCCCTCCCCCTAGCCAGTGCACCATCCAGCACGACCATGTTATCTACACCATTTACTCCACGCTGGGTGCGTTTTATATCCCCTTGACTTTAATACTGATTCTCTATTACCGGATTTACCACGCGGCCAAGAGCCTTTACCAGAAAAGGGGATCGAGTCGGCACTTAAGCAACAGAAGCACAGATAGCCAGAATTCTTTTGCAAATTGTAAACTTACACAGACTTTCTGTGTGTCTGACTTCTCCACTTCAGACCCTACCACAGAGTTTGAAAAGTTCCATGCCTCCATCAGGATCCCACCCTTCGACAATGATCTAGATCACCCAGGAGAACGCCAGCAGATTTCTAGCACCAGGGAACGGAAGGCAGCGCGCATCCTGGGGTTGATTCTGAGCGCATTCATTTTGTCCTGGCTGCCATTTTTCATCAAAGAGTTGATTGTGGGTCTGAGCATCTACACCGTGTCCTCGGAAGTGGCCGATTTTCTGACGTGGCTCGGTTATGTCAATTCTCTGATCAACCCTCTGCTCTATACGAGTTTTAATGAAGATTTTAAGCTGGCTTTTAAAAAGCTCATTAGATGCCGAGAGCATGCTTAGACTGTCAAAAGCTAAAAGGCACGACTTTTACCAGAGCCTCATGAGTGGATGGGGGTAAGGGGTGCAACTTATTAATTCTTGGACATACTTGGTTCAGGAGAGTTTGTAAGTATGTGTGGTCTTGTTTTCTTGTTTGTTTGTTTGTTTGTTTGTTTTGTTCTGTTTTGTTTGAGGATTGTTATTTGGCGTGCTGTTTTCTACCTCTGGTCTTATCTGTGATACATAATTTCAAATAAACATCA